TTTTTATTGTTCCCTGCCACCATGTAGTGCAGGAGACATAGAAATGCAGGGTTTGCATCCATCACTCAGATTTTAAACACTTTCATACATACAATTCTTGCCAGACTTTTATGAAATTATCAAAAATAATGTTATCAAAATTTAAAAATTTATATTTGCCTAACATATCACATCCCAATGTTTGCCATAATAAAAAGTTAAAACATCGCAAAATTTCTTAATTTACAATTTTTAAAGTTTCTAGAATATTGGCCGCAGTTGGAGATGTTAACCTTGAGAGAAACAATGAACGTAAATGTAAACGTGTTGTTACAGCACCAATGCAAAAACTACTTTAAATTTATTAATTTTTATGTGCATTTATTATGCAATTGGTTTATGTGCATTATTAATTGTATTTCAGCAAATGATGCATGCAATTAATCAATTTAATGTGAATGTCATATTATATGAAAGTTCTAATTAATGTGATACTTATCAGTGTTTGCAATTATGAAAATGTCTATAAAGTGAATTTAATCTGAGACATATATAATAGTAGTCTCAGATTCAGTAGCAATCAAACAGTACATGAATACTAAAAAATCAAGTTAATAGTTGTGTAAGAAATTCCTTAAAACTACCATAATGTAGCAGGACAAAACGGAACAATAAGTAGCATCATAATGATATGTCTACATTTTATCAAAATGATTATTTTTTATAGCAGACAATTTGAAAATCATATATAGTGACTCCTTTTAAGCTCACTGTTCCGAAGGAACTGTGAGCTTAAGCCATCACTTGGCATCTGTCGTCGTTGTTGTCCGTCTGGTGTAAACTATTTCAAACATCTTCTCTTAAAATAATGAACCAATTCCAACCAAACTTAAGCTGAATGATCCTTAGGGTATCTAGAATAAAGTTTGTGTTTTATTTTCTGTTTTGTCAAAAAACATGGCCGCCATGGCTAAAAATAGAACATAGGGGTAAAATGCAGTTTTTGGCTTATATCTAAAAAACCAAAATCTGACAAGGGGTAAGAGTGTTCATTAGGTGAAGTTCTATCAGCCCTGAAATTTTCAGATGAATCTAATAACCCATTGTTGGGTTGCTGCCACTAAATTGGTAATTTTAAGGAAATTTTGCAGTTTTTGGTTATTATCTTGAATAGTTTTAATGATAAAGATAAACTGTAAACAGCAAATATGTTCATCAAAGTAAGATCTACAAATAAGTTTAATATGACCAAAATTGTCAATTGACCCCTTAAGGAGTATTGCCCTTTGAGGACAATTTTACACAATTTGTTTATCATGTTTTCTAACTTTAAAAAATCTTCTCCTCTGAAACTACTGAACCAATTCCAACCAAACTTAAGCTGAATGATCCTTAGGGTATCTAGAATAAAGATTGTGCTTTATTTTCTGTTTCGTCAAAAACATGGCCGCCATTGCTAAAATTAGAACATAGGGGTGAAATGCAGTTTTTGGCTTATATTTCAAACACTTAAGCAATTAGAGCAAATCTGATGAGAAGTTAAAATGTTCATAAGGCCAAGTTCTTTCAGCCATAAAATTTCAGATGAATCTAACAGTCCATTGTTGGGTTGCTGCCACTAAATTGGTAATTTTAAGGAATTTTGCAGTTTTTGGTTATTATCTTGAATATTATTAATGATAAAGATAAACTGTGAACAGCAAAAATGTTCAGCAAAGTAAGATCTACAAATAAGTTATATGACCAAAATTGTCAAATGTGTCCTTAAGGAGTTATTGCCCTTTAAAGACAATTTTTCACAATTTGTTCTTCTAGTTTGCTTACTTTAAAAAATCTTCTCCTTTGAAACTGCTGAATCAATTTCAGCCAAACTTGGGCTGAATGAGTTTCAGAGTATCTAGTATAAATTTTGTATTTTACTTTCTTGTACGTCAAGAAACATAGCCACTATGGCTAAAATTGAACATAGGGATAAAATGTATTTCTTTGCGTTTGAAGAAAATATGACAGATAAAAAGAACATTTCAATGGAATTTTTAAGTCACTCATTAATATATATTAAAAAACAAAAATAATCATTGATTAAAGATTTAAGCAAAAAATTACAGGTGAGCGATTCAGGCTCTTGAGAGCCTTTTGTTTCTCTACCTCTTATTGATAAAATGAGATTAAATCTAAGACCTTTTCAGCTTTATTTGTGATACTTTTATATAGTATTTGTCTTGCTTTCACTGAATGTTACAGAATAGAGACATATGTATGCAACTATTTGTAAACTAATTATATAAAGCTTAGTATTTTTGAAGCTAAACAACCTGGATACTTCATATTTTGTAAACAAATGCTTTTTGTTCTGAAGTTTCCTTCTGGCATAAGTCCATTGACCTTGATCTCATATTCATGGTTCAATTGTCAGTGTCTAGTTTTCATTGTAAGGTCCATTTTTTGTATACTATAAAGCAATAGGTCAGCTTTATTTGGTATATGGAATGACTGAAACATGATCATGTCTGTCTAGCAGGTTTTATCTGACCTTCACCTCATGTTCATGGTTCATTGGTCAATACTAATTTTTTTTTGTTAGGTCCATTTCTCAGATACTATAAGAAAATAGGTACGGAATGACAATGTAAGGTGTATTCATCATTCTGATAGGGTTCATGTGACCCTGATCTCGCATTCATGGTTCATTGGTCAACCTTGACCTCATTTTCATGTCATTGGTCAACACTAAGTTTTAGTGGTTAGGTCAACTTTATTTGATGTATGGAATGATTGTTCAAGGTGTTCATGTCTATGTTCAAATGACCTTGAGCTTCTTTTAATAAGTCACTGATAATGTTAAATTTAAGTAAAAGCTGTGGTGTAAAGATTTTTAACAAAAATTCAATCATGATCAGTAAAGCAGACAAGACATTTCAGCATGTGAAGTCTAGTTGCAGTTTTTTTTTAACCAATAGTGAATATGAAATGACCCAGTAATGAAAAAGATGGAGATTATATTATTATATAAATTTTGTTACTTCAACTTTGTGTCAGAGGTCTTGGTTATGAAAAAATTTAAATGGGTTTTTGGTTTTTTAATTATTTGGGTTGCTATTTCATTGGTGTGTACCAAACATCTCATTATGGCCCCGCCACAAAGTAGTTGGGGCCGTAACAACTTGACCTTTATCCATCATTCATTTATTCTGTCATTCTGTCATTCCGTCATTCCATCATTCCATCATTCCATCATTCCGTCATTCCGCAACAAACAGTTATACAGACTTTGTTTTCTAAATACCTTCACATATTGAGCTGATTTTTAGTATGTGTGTCTACGATGATGAGTTACAGATCAAGTTTACGTTTGGTTTCGCTCCGCTAATTTTTGCCGAAATTACAGCTTTGGACTTTGAAAATTATGTGAAAATAACAGTTATATGAATTTTTTATCTAAACACCTTCACAAACTGAGCTGATTTTTAGTATGTGAGACTACTATGATGAGTTACAGATTGAGTTTACGTTTGGTTCTGCTCCGCTGATTTGTGCCAACATTACGGGCTTCAAATATCCAGTCCTAAAAATGGCTTCAAGCTTTTTTGCGAGTGGGGCCATTCGTGCCGTTCCGACACATCTAATTTTATTTATATTTCCCATTAATAAGAAAATAGCCTTAAAACATTGTTCCTTATACTTTTTGAACCTAAGACAATTCATATGAATGTACATTCTTTTCAAGAATATTTGCTTATTGATTTTTTCAAATGGTTGATTATGTGTTTTTTATTTGGTTTGTTAAATTAAAATAAATACCAAAATGAGCAGTCCAAGTAGAATTCCTTTAAATAAAGCAATAGTTACTGGTATCTGTGAATTAGAATAAATAAAATAAAATACTGCATCCGGAATTGACAGATGATGGGCTTGTCATTCTGACATTAGTGCAGCTCAATATCTGTTAAATTGATGGACAATTAGTTAACAAGAGACAGACAAATGTATCAAGTTTAACAGATAAATGTGAAACTTTTGAAGGTGTTTTCGTCCTTGATTGTTCTGACGCCTACAGGCAGCATGCAACACAGCTTTTCACCATTTTATATTCTGAAATGATTGTGATTTTAGTGTGATCAACCTTTATATAGAAAACAATTGAAAATGAGAGAAAATAAATCCGTGATTGGAAATTGATTTAGTAGGTTCACATCATATGGCTGGTTTGATTAAACTTAATTGATCCTTTTCTGTGTGCAGTTCTATCGGAATGGTAAAATCGGTAAAATGGTGGCATTGGTAGTTGTCAGATAGGTGACACTGCATCAATTATATGAAAACGGAGTAAAGGATCAACCCAGTTAACACAAAAATGTTTTTAAAATATATTTAAAATATATTGCACTATATCACATAAATATCATAAAAAATATTTTATTGAGGTTAAATGTATGGCTGTACTAATGTGAATTACATATTTTAAGGAAATATTTTTATTGTATGTTTTAAAAATATTTTTCTTAAACATCATTTTTAATATCTAAATAACATAATAAAGATATTTTTTCAATATTGATTGAAAACATCAGCACAACATTTAAAATTGAGAATGGAAATACATTTTCCCAAATCGATTGGCTAATCATCCTTTCAAAATGTTTTATGGATGTTATATAAATGTTTTAAAAATATTTTAGGCATGTTTTACTGAAACATTTAAAATAAATGTGAAAAAAAAATATTTCAATAATGTTATATGTATGTAAAATGATAAAATGTTTTTACAACATTTGAGTAAAACATTTTTAACATCACAAAAATGTTTTCTGGATATTGAGGTTAAATGTATTGCTGTAATAATGTGAATAACATATTTTAGGAAAATATTTTAATTGAATGTTTTAAGACTGTTTTTCTTAAATATCATTTTTTATACTTTAATGACATAATAAATATATTTTCTATTGTTATTTGAAAACAAATGGACCTGCATTGCTGTGTGTAATTGATTGAAATTTCAAACTATCTGCAAACAGAGAGTATATCTGTAAGGCAAATGTAAAAATTGCTTGCACCCTTCAACGCAACATTATAAAGCTGTAGACCAAATATAAAATCAGTCCCTTTCATAGGAGAAAGGCTGAAGATCCAAAGGGATATTCAATCTCAGAAGTCAAAGACAAACTGACAACACCATGATAAAATATGGAAAAGGACCAAAAAGATAAACAATGAAAAATAAAGACTCAGCAACACAAAACCCCACCAAAAACCAAAAAAAAAATAGAAGCCAAGAAACTGTTGACGCATTTGGATAGACAGACAACAGCAGACTTAAAAAAAAAAGCAGCATATTTTAAAACATTTTTTATACATTTACATGACATACAGTACATGTCTGACTATTTTCCAAATATAATTTATAAATTAAAGTTTATATGTTTAAATTGATTTTTATCATACGACTTCTGTAAATTAAGAGTTGTGCATGATTAGGGCTATTCCATTAAAATGTATGTGGGAGGGTAGGAAGGGACTTTTAAAATATCCCTACAACCAAGAACCATTTTTAGATAATTTTGCATAATGGTAATAGACACATACTGAAAAAAGACCAATGACCAACATTCAACAATTAAACTTCCCTTCCTACCCTCCCACATACATTTTAATGGAATAGCCCTTACCCACCATTTTCTTTAATAATATAAAAACAAGAATGCACATGTTGTAGTGCTAAGCTTAGCCCCACTTGTAATTCAAAGTATCCGAGAACAGGGAGCATACAGGTGTCTGACCAATCTGAATAGTGCTCCTGTTACAAATTAATCCTTCCAAGCTATTGACTTAATATGAAGTCATTCTGTTTTGTAGTATTGGACAAATGTGACACTAAGTTTTTAGTTCATTCAACATATAAAAAAATTCGTAATACATTGTAAGTGGCAAACAGGATGTAGTTGTCCGACAGATTCAAAAAGTGCTCACGCTTTACTAATCAAGCTGCTGACCAAAAAAGTGGTGTTAAACAATTTGTGAGTGCTCAACCTTCCCCCTTATCTGGGACAGAGGTATGGCAGTGCATCATCAGAACCATAAAAACCAGTCAATAAGAGTTTGACTCATACAAAAATCAATAGACACAACTTACCAACCCAAGAGTACTTGCTGTAACCAAAAGCAAGTTCTATGGCAAATTTCAACTAATAAATACATCGTGTATTTCTAGATTTAAATATTAACCAGATCACTTCAAAGGGATTTAGAATAAATACATCATTAGGGGTCTTGGAAAAGCATAACCTTTTGCAATGCCAAAATAAAGTATTGACATGATAATTTCTTCATGTTCTCAGAGCTTTTAATTGTGGCTATAAATAAAGATTAAATTTTCTAAATTGGAATGTAGCATTTTTATTATTTCCAGTAGTGTGTTGTATTCATAAGTGATTTGACATTGTCTTAATTTGAGTCTGAATCCTCTACAGTACTTCTTCTCTTCTTGTTTGCGTTTTTCTGTAAATTAAAAATATAAAATCAAATCATAAATTTTAAGACATTTTTAGTACATTTTAAATGTTTTTGATATCCCTAGCCCTTGTTTACAATTGAGATAAAATTTTGGACAAACTTAGTTTAAAAATATTTATTCAAATAAATCAATACATAGTATATAATACTGATACATGAAATAAATAGGATTCAGAAACAAGCAAAACTCTCCTAATGTACAAATAAATTTCTTATATGGTCATTATTATGTAAGTATGGCATGTTCTGAAATAGTCAGTTTGTAAAAAAAAAAAAAAAAGATATTAAAGTTTCATAAAAAAATACTGAATAATTGTGGTAAATAGTGTAGTGTGTTGTGTGCAGAATGAAATGCTTAGGTTTTATAAATGATCGAGCATTTGCATCAAGGATTGAATCGTTTGGTTTTTATTATATATTTCTGTACCGAAATATTTTAATCGATTTCCTACATAGTAATAAGGAGGGACTTAAATATTTTGAGTACAAATTTGTTTCTTAAAAATTGAAAGAGATTCAAGTTTTCTTGCATTTAAATGTAGTTTATTCCATAATTTGGTTCTCGCTGGGAAAAAATACTCCGATTATAAATAGGTCTGTTTATTATATTAAATAACATTATTGCGTTGTCTTGTATAAAGGTCATGTCTACTTCCCACTGAATCGGCTCTCGAAGATAATCTTGGTGTTTTGTAATTCAAAATTTTATGAATTATCCCATCCTTGATAACTACATGCTTAAATTAACTTAAAACTTAAAAATGCATGCAAAGTTTTTTATAAGATCCAATTTAAAAAAAATTAAAATACCTTCAAAAAGTTTACGCCTCCTGGACAGTTTGGAGCATTCCTTAAAACTTCTGCTATTTCAAACTCATAATCCTTTACAGGAAAACGGTTTTTCGTTGCTCTTTTCAAGGCCCCTACAAATAAATTTAACGTAAAGATTATACATGTTTTAACTAAAACTAAAAATCCACAAAACAGGAACATGGAGAACTTTTTTTTTAGGAATAAATGCTGTATATAGAAAATATAATTTCAAATTTTCAAATATTACCCCTAGTTTCCTACAGGAATAATTGTTTGTTGTCAGATATTTACAAGGTATGACACCTTGAATGGAATGATTGCATTCAATGAATGACATCTTGAGCAGGTTAATAGTTAGATAATATTATTTAATAATGCAGTGAAGCCAGTGATCCCTCAAATTTGACTGCAATACTTAATTTAGCAAGACAACAGGCACGCTAATTTTAAAAATGAGCACAAGAGAAAAACTACAATTTGCGCATACAATCTGTTTATATATAATATTTTATTATGTAAAATGGTTGTAGATATGTGGTGTATGTTAAACTGTAAAAATATGTCATTCAAATATAGAACACTGGTGGATATGTTATTCAAAAATGAACCATGCGATTTATTACAGATTCACAATTAATCTGAAATGAACTTACTCAAGATGACTTTACAGGTTCTCGTTCCTTTAAAGGGAGTCTTCCCTCTTTGACCGGTCAAACTATACTTTGACATTATTCCATTGGTCAATATGGACCTCATGACCAGTCTTGTTATGCTGGGCAGGTCTCCCCCATCCTTTAGCTTAGCTAATACCATAATCTGTAAAAAAAAAAACCTGGTAGGTTTAAACTTTTATTAACCTCATAGCTATCAAAGATGTTCCTGCTGTTCAAATATTATTTCTGAAAAACTTTTTCATGTATTCTCTCCATGTAGTCTGTCAAGTCCAGGATGCACATTCCACTGCAACTTGTCAATGTTATCATAACTTAAACATTGTCTTCTCCTGGGAAAGACTATAATTATAAAATTAAAACTGAATTTTTTGAAAAATGTACCCAAGTTTACTGTTAAGAGAAAAAGAGAAATCTCCTAAGCTAAAAATCTTTCTTCTTTAAAGGAGAAAAATTACTTAGATTCAAAACTAAAGTAAATCATAGCCTAATTATATCAAGGCGAAGGCAAACAATAAATATGTGTGTTTAGGGTTTTATCTGATAGAAAAATAGGGTATACATGTAGAAATATCTTTTGCTCTCTTAAATTTTTCTACTTTTGAGATTAATGCGAGCCACCTGCGATTTGTCAGGAGTCATTACACAAAGTGCCTGTAAAAACTTTTAAGTTATACATTCTGTGACAGATAAACTATAAACAATTGCTGTAAATTCTAAAAATTTTGTGATTTTATATCAATCTAATATAAAAACTTGCATTTTCAATTTTGACACTATTATTGTTTGCAGCAATCTGAAATCAAATTAATCAAACTCAGGTTTTTGTCCATTTTCAATAAATAATAATAGCATAACAAATGCTTGCAAACAATTCTGAATTTAAAGTATTTGTTATTTTGGCAAAATAAAAGTACATGTACCAGTTTTTTCCTGAACTCCTCATCAGATTCTAATTGTTCATTCAGTTGGTCCATCATTTCTTGATTTTTTATTTTCTCAGGAATAAAGTCCTCTACAGACTCTACAATCACCTCCTCTTGAACAATGAGAGTATTTAGAATTGTTGTAACGGCCTTCTTAATGTCAGTAACATCTTTCTGCACTGAAATAAAACTAGTGTTAATATTTTATCCCTGATATTTAAAGAAAATATGTATAAAACTATTGACAGTCACTCCCTTGTTGTTATTGCAAAATATGTCTTAAAAAATCTTTTTAATTGAGAGAAAACTATAATTTAAGCCTTCATTTGTGTTACTATAGTACTGCATTGAAAAAATGAACTGAAAATTATTGCACAATTATGATACTGCTGCTATTAGTATTATGTTAACAAAGTTTGTCAGCGATGAATGTGAAAAAAAAATCACACAAAAATGCATGCTCAAATAAACTAAAGCTAGATACCAATTACAGGATGCTTTTGATTTCTACTTTCTGAGAACAATGCTACTTAAATTTTATACATGGCCATTATATGTAAGTAATCGGTGATCAGAAGTTGATAATTGATGAATGTAAAAATGGACACAAGGTTGCTCACTTCAAGCTAGAAAACTTTTTCAGGAAGCTTTGTTATTAAGTCTCTGTCAAGAGAAACATAAATTTTTTTTATGGGATAGATGGAAGGACAGATAGACGAATGGACAGACATACATGACATATGAAGCTCTATACCTCTGTCCTTTGAAGCAGGGTGAAAAAATCCTTTGCAATATTTGTCGTTTCACTCACTAGAAATCCAATACATAGCAAAGCAAATAATTTGGGATGAAGACATATAAATAATGTGTAATATAAAAAAAGTTACTTACTTTGCTTCATCACTGCAGAGTCTCCGTGTGACAAGCGACTTGAAGGTCGATCTATAACAGGTAAATCTTCATGGTTTTCCATGTCTGGTGTCCTTTCAATACTGGAAGTAGAGGGTCTTTTTCCTTCACCACTGGAGGTTGAGGGCATTTGTAATAGACCACTGGAGGAAGAGGACCCTTGTCCTTCACCACTTGAGGTAGAGGGCCTTTTTCCTTCACGACTGGAGGTAGACTGTATTTGTGTTTGACCACTGGAAGTAGAGGATCTTTGTCCTTCACCACTTGAAGTGGAGGGCAGTTGCCTTTCTAAATTAGAGTTTTGCTGATCTCCTTGAGCTGTCAACTGTTCTTTAATAGATGTCTTTGGTTCTGCACTTTTTTCACCTGCAAATGAGAAAAAATAATTGTCAAACTATATATATATACCTTTCTCCTAAAAGCACAAACACATGACCAACAGAACATCACTTTTTCATACATATGGGGAATGTATGTGTAGACCGAAATACATTGTTTTTGTGAATCCCATTTCTCTTTGTTAATGCAAAAAAATATAAACAAGAATATGTCCACAGGACACCATGCCCTGTTCACACTAAGTCCACCCCTCATTAGTAGATTATCATATAATAGTTTATATTATAGGCCAAAAAAAAATATATGTCTGTTTAAGGTTACATACTTTAAAAAAATACGGTAGGTAGGTCATTATTTCCATTTTATTTTTTGTGACATGATTTTGATTCATGCCGTTTCATCTTGTCGTAGTCCGAATTGATCATGGGCCGAGTTTACCCGTATTTTTAATGATTGGATTATTTCCCTTGGAAAAAAATGGCGGCAAAGTGTTTATTTCATCACACGAGTTGCGAATTTCCTTAAAACAGCTGTCATATTCACGATTGTGAACATTAGGATGTATCAGGCAATTGATTTATATTATTTGCAACACTAACTTTGCTTTTGACACGAGTACAGTTTATTTTTCACTTTACGACGGAAATAAAATGACTTAGGGTCGGCGCTCAAAAGTAGGGACGGTCGGGTAACCGTAAACAGACATATATTTTTTTTTGGCCTTATGTATATATAAAGTGATCATTATTATGATTTTTTTTCCTCCTGAAATCTAGTAAAAACAGGTTGATGTATCCTTAAACAAATAAATCTAAAACCCTTTTAGAGTATTAGAAATTACTTTTTAACTAAAATTGTTGTTGGAATGAGTATCTTCTTCAGTGTACTCACCATTTTTGTAAAGTGGTGTCTTTGGAATCTTCTCCTGGCTGTTAATTTTCTCATCTGAAAACACACATAACATAAACAAGTCGAGTTTAATTTGAAGTCTTAAGTACTGGTAATTATTCAAATTTGTTTAGAGATTTTCCTAACTTTAAAATTATTATTAAAATTTTCATACAAGTATTTAAATACTTGGGTCAGTTCAAAATTGCTCATTGAACTTACCTTTTTTCTGCACCAACTTTGGCTGTTTTTCTTGCACAAACATTTTGTCATCTGAAATTACAAAATAGAACTTATTAAACAAACAAAATAGGTACACTTTTCATAATGTTAACATTTTTCTCAGGTTTTCTAAAAAAGCATCTATTCCAAGTTTGCTATGACGTCTGATGACTTTTTAAGAACTTGTTTGGGTCGTCAGAGTGCAGTCTCTAACATTTATTCAGGTACTATCCCCTGTATCACAAACAAAAGCTTTATTCCCATTACCGTAGAAAGGCTTGTATAGTCCGCGGTTTTATTCTCCAAAATTGGACCTTCCAGACGGGGTGCGGACTATAGAGTACAATAAGCAAGAAATAAGAGAAAAATTTCAATTTCGCGGTCGAGGTGGTTTGTTTACGTTCCGCCATCTTTGTTATTTCTATTGTAGAGGGCGCTCTTATCATTTTTCAAACTAATAATTTTAACTCATCCATATTAATAAGTTATTTCTATTCAATATCAAATTAATACTGATAAATATAAAAACTAAATCTTTCATTACAAATTTCTCGTTTCTTTTCAATGCATTGGTTGAAATAAACTGGTATCTGCTTGATTGAAACGATACAAACATAGTGAAAAAGACAACCGTAAACCAGCTTAGAATTTGTAAACTACAAAACGTAATCGGTTATTGTTCGTTCCGTTTTGGTGTTTCATACTGACTACTATGGTTTGTATTAGCTTAAGACCCTTCAAACATTAATGTGATAGATATATTAAAGACTGTTTTACAAAAGGATGGAACTGTTTTACTTTCAAAGTCGTATTATAGTGATATCTGTTATGTACGGATTTCAACTCTCACCGGTTAATTTCTTCTTTTACACGTGCTTTTTAAACTTCCTGTTTAAACATACACAAGTTTCTAAATTGTTTTTTAAGTGAATTAAACTTATTTTAACAATCATGAAGCGTTCTAGAATCATTTACAAGCAGTTTCAGCTTCTGTTTGATGATGGAAAACAGGTTTTTCCAAGAAAATACCACAAACGACCGCACAGGATTTGAAATTACCGGAGTTTCATTAGACCTTTTCTAACAGTTACAACAAGTTTTTTTACCTAAAATTTCGTTGGGAGAAGGGGGTGCGGACTATGTACCACTGCGAACTATACAAGCCTTTCTACGGTAACCCATTGTTTTCAGCAAAATGCACCAAGTCTAAGCCAAGCAAATACCTCAACTGAAGACTTAAAATATACACTATAATAATGATCTATTTCGATGCCTTGAAAAACATTGCCCAATCACCATTACAGTGTACACTAACATATAACTGACAATAATTAACCAGAGAAGATTGCATATATTTTCCTACCCTCACTTGATTCCTCTGCTTTGGCTGCATATCTATGTGGCCTTTTTCTGCTCCTTTTTGCAGAATCTTCATTGGATGACTCCAAATTAGATGTAACTTCAGCCTTTTTCATTGCTACCACTGAATCTGAATAATCTTTGTATTCTTAAAGTAAAAAAATAAGAAAGCATCATACTTTCTCCTTTAAAATACTAACTAAAAGTCAAATAGAAAATGCTTTCACAAATGAAACAAGCTCTATGTCCTTAAATAAAAATTTGAAAATATGTTTGATATAATAAAAATATACAGGATGCATTTAATAATAGTGCAAAACTGTGGTATATGAAATTCAGCATGTTCAGTGTAGAATGTGATACTGATATACTTAAAAACTATGAAAAAAGATTATGGTTTTAAAAATTTCTGTTATAATTAAATTTTTTAAATAATGGAGTTTTAATTCTTGTAAAGATACATACACTTTTTGCAACTTATTGTAAAATTTTGTTGGGAGTTTCACTAGACATCTTATGATTTTAGAGATATTTTTTAATGTAAAAGCTATCCCTATAAGCAAAACATTTATACCGAGGATTCTACTTGTTTTCCTGGTTGTAAAAATATTGCATTTACCTGATTTACCAACTATCCGACAATCAAAAAGGTCCCATACTTTCACGTCTGGAATTTCTTCCCTTATGATTTTTCTCTTCTGATTTTTTAGCGGCCAGTAGCATCTCTCCTAAAAAAAGTGGTTCATTTATTATTACTAGAAGAATAATTATATTTTATTATGTTCTTTTTATTTCATAAAGACATTTTAAAAACAAGAAATTAAAACATTAACTACTGATGCATCAAATAACCACTTTATTTTATTTTTGGGCACAACAATTGGAGTTACAAATGTATAAAACTAAACTTTTGGTTTATAACAATCTGCATAACATTAACCAGTATACATGTACCCCTTCATTGGAGAGGCGTCAAATTTGTTTAAAAGCAATATTTAAGTTCTCACCTGATCATTTTCTTTGACAACCCATGAACTTGGCACACTTTCAACCTCACTGTCATCATCAAAAATCACCACAACATAAGGCATCTTGAGATTAAACTGTAACAATTTAAAATTAAATCATTTAAACACTGTACAAGATATGGAGTCATTCTTTATATGCACTGTAACTTGTACAAGCACTTCACAATGCAATATTGAAAACAGAATTTAATTGCTCATCTGATTTATTACAGTTGGGGATTCAGACCCCCCCCTCCCTCCCTAGTCTCACTCCGTCATGTTTTTCCAATTTAGGTAAAAGCTATCAAAGACTATTAGATCTATTAACGCTGTTATCTTTACATGACATTACTTGTGTACTTACATGTAGTGCTAATGGTAGCAGAATCGGATTTACAGGGGGGATGCAGCGCCCCGGTTAATGCATAGACTTTTTACATGTCCCACTCCAAACGTTGCCTAGCTTGGGGCTTTGGGCCCCCCTTTTTCAATATCATGGATCCGCATCTGGGTTGTCTTGAAAAAAATGGTGAATTTTATTGTATGGAGGTAAGGGGTCTGAAGGCAACTCTATCAACCTTTGATTGGTGACGATTTTTAAAGATAGCCTGATCAATTATAGGAAATAATCAATTAAAATTATATGCATTGCAGGTTAAAATAATATTCACTAACACTCCCCCCAAAAATATATTCATTTCTAGAACAGACCCAATTGGAAAAGTAGTTGACACTATGTATTGTTGCAGAAATTATAAGTCAGTCAGGGGTACTACTTGTACAAGTAATTTTTATTTACTTGAAGAAGTAAATATTAATATACTTATATAAGTAATTTGTAGGATACTTATACAAGTGTATTTTATTTACTTGTATAGGTAAACAAAAATTGGGCTTAGTTATGTCCCTTAGACATTCAGATTTTTTTACTTATACAAGTAAAAAAGTCATCCTATCTTCTTTTCTTGAATTCTTAGGACTTCTTTGCTCTATTAGAATTTTTGATTGTCTGTCCTTTGCAGATGTCTTTACTAATCATTTAAGTGTAATTTCATGGACAATGAAAATCTCATGTGTCTGTTATCTTCAGAACACTGCTCATTTACAAGCCCCCAAATGGCAATTTTTGAAGGCCTTGCGCAAATACTTAAGATCTTTGCGCAATCAGTTTCTTTGTTGAATTAATGAGATGAAACATTGAACTCTAATAAAAAATTATGAGCTAACCTGAGAAAAATTGTTAAAGGCATGTTTTTACATCTCAAAACTTGAGAATTTTTGTGGGATTGTAAAAAAAATTTACTTATACAAGTAAATTTTTGAGAAAATTAAGGGGAGATTATTCAAACATTATAATTAACTTATATAAGTTTATTTTATTTACTTCTTCAAGTAAATAAAGATTACTTGTACAAGTAGTACCCCTGACTGTAAGTAACAATAAATTATCATCCTATCCATTACACCTAAAATAAAAACATGAAAAATATTGAGATTTGATAAATTTTTATCATGTTTATAAGTTATCTATTTTGAAATCAACATCTTGATTCTTCATTATGCAAATTTAGCTACATGATCTATAACTGATTACACTTAAGATGAGACTGCTTTCATCTTATTAGACATTTTCTGTTAAGCTTTAACTTTCAGATTCCAAATGTTAATCAAACAAATGTTTTTTTTTTATTTCAAAGATCTGCAAATATAAATATTAAATGATGATTTTTGAAAATGTATACGAAATGTAAGCAAGGGACCATCATGCTTAATGAGAAGCATGGTAAGAAAGTGAAGGGACTTGCTTTCATTTCATATAAATATTAAAAAAAACAGCATTCAATAACAATTTGAAGAAAATGTCAAGTAATTTGCAATACACATAATGCAAATTTTATGTTAGTATCATTGATGCAAATTAACTGTGTGTGTGCAAGAACTAGTGTTAAAACATGTACTTTAACATGTCAAATGACATAAATACCTTGAATGTCATGCAGGAGTGGTAGGAACACAACTTTTCTTCCTAATTTTACTACCATGCACCTCGTCTTTAGTTGATCTCTTCGAATGACTTTTAATTCATAATTTAAATGTTGAAATTTAGTGAATCTTAAAATTCGGGAGTCATATGGTTGAGGATAAAATGACTCCTTGGTATGGTACACTCTACACATATACTTATCATTCAAGCATACTGACTGGATCTCACAGAATTTATAATTATTATTTTCACTTATTTGAAAAGCATTGTTTGGTTCAGAACAGTAAATCCTATTTTGATCAGCGACAGAATAACTAGACTGAATAAGTAATTCCTCCTGAACCCTTTTGACTAACTGAACTGCAGGCTGATTACCACATCTTACTTTTCTTTTTAAGCGTTGCATATAATTTTCAAATTTCCAGGCTGCACAATTTTCAAGAGAACCAAACTGACAAGCATCATCTTTCAAATGAACTAACATGTGTACATTATATACAAGGAACTCTCTGCCATATAATTCCCTTCCTCTCTCTACAAACCATTCCAGTAAATCCTGGGCATAATCACTGTGCTCAGCTGTTAATTTTTCACTGACTAAAATTGATACGGCTATACTCAGGGCCAAAAAATGTCGATAATAGATAGGTTCAAGTACATCTTTCAGAACAAATGCTCCTGTGTACAATAAGAACTGTCGAAATTCAGTTGCCTTCCAGCGATCAATTTCAATTAAAGATCTTGGTTTCCGAACAAATTCTTTAGGTATAAATTTTCGCATGGAAATCAAGTTTTCAGAAATTTGCCCAACCAATACGGCTGAAAGTCTAAAATCTGCTCTGGGTCCTCTCATCCATAATAAGATAAGTCGCTTAACCACCCCTAGACAGACCTGGTGCATATAGTCAATCGGAAATTGCTTAATCATATCTACAGGCAATTGAGTTATTGGTGAAAGACCTTTGTGGTGTTCTTCCTGAGACTGACTTCTAAAGGATTCATCCTTTCGTAATGTCAAATTAGACACATCTTGGTAGGTCATACGGCCAACATATACACCTCTCTGCATACATTTGTCACATCCATAATACCCACAATAAAGTTTTGTGTTCTTTACAAGTGCTTTGGCTGGGGCATCACAAATAATACACGATATGGATATTTGAAAGTGTTTTCCATCAAAAACAATGCCACTTGTAAATAATTCACCTAAATCAGTCACTACATCATTCAAAAAATCCAAATTTGATGGTTTATGTGTTCCTACTGAAAAAGAAATTGGGAAAACCTGAGAGCATTTAATGTTGCTGATAGAGCAAAGAACTGGCCAGACACTAGTATTACTACTTTTAAACAAAGGAAGCCCATCAATGTTTAAGGACAAAACAAGACATTGAATGCCTTCAAGCTTTTCTTTAGAAACAGATTGCAAACTGTGTTCTAGCATGTATTTTAGTCCAAAATGATAGTAATGCATGTCAGACACTGTATTCATTACCACTGTTCGAGGCGTTTTTAGTAATGTCCTTGCACATGTTGGTAACACATCTTCAAAACCTTTGCCTCTTAATATTTTTAAAAGGTCATCAAGAGCATTCTGTTTTATTTCAAATTTATTGGCCCAAACTTTTAACTCTTCACCTATGGAAAATAGGTCATCCTCATCAGTTTCGGACTCACTTGTCACAGGTTGCATCATTTCCAACCTATCTAAAACATCCCATTCAGTTCCGTTAATGTCACTACTATCAATTACACTATTACTTTCTGATACCTCTGCAGTGCTACAGGGGACTGCATGTGTTCCATCCATACAAGATGACAGATGGTTTTCCTCAAGAGAAGTGTTGTCTGTTGTATTCAATAATTTGACAGCCTCTGTATAAGAAAAATCTGTATCAGATTCAGATGAACATGTATCAATATGGTCTATTGAATTCTGTTTCAAAGTGGTACATGTATCGTCTGGCAGTTTTCTCTTGTACGATATCCACTTTTTATTGTATTCCTTGCGCCTTGATATTAAGTTTGTTGTACTTCTTATTCTGGCCATAGAATCCATGACTTATTCCACTTTAATCTACAAAAATAGAAGAAGAAAAAAAAAACCATGCAACTTTACATTTTTATTGATGCACAATATTTTCAATTTGAAATGTACAGCCTGTTTTATCCTTAAATTTATTGAAATGTCTCGCCTGCTTTACTAACCATGATTGATTTTATGTTGATAGTCTTAAAGATAAAGTTTTACTACAAGTATCACATAAACTTAAAATTATCAATGATCCATGAAAATGAGGTCAAGTTCAGATAAACCAAGCCATACAGACATATTCACCCTACAAGCATGCTATACACCAAATATAGTTGACTTATTGCTTATAGTATTAGAAAAACAGACCAAAATACAAAAACTTAACATTGACCAATGAACCGTGAAAATGAGGTCAAGGTCAGAGGAAACCTGTCAGACGGATATGTACCCCTTACAATCATTCCATACACCACATATAGTTGACCTACTGCTAATAGTATCTGAGAAACGGACCTAATCACATAACTTTAACCTTGATCACTGATCCATGAAATGAAGTCGAGGTCAGGTGAATGAACCCTGTCTGACAGACATGTAAACGTTGCAAGGAACCCATATACCAAATATAGTTATCCTATTACTCATATAATAAGTGAGAAATTCACATGACAAAAAAACTATATTTTTTCAAGCAGTCGCTGAACCATGAAAATGAGGTCAAGGACAATGGACATATGACAGACGGAAATTTCATAACATAAGGTATCTGCATACAAGGTATGAAGCATCCAGGTCTTCTACTTTCTGAAATATAAAGCTTCATACAAATAGTTTATGCCGTCGTCGCCGGATAGTAATACCTATGTTTCACTCTGTGACTTTCGTCGCAGGCAAGACAAAAACCCTTATTTATCTGCACAAGTGCAAATTTTTCTTCTGGTGATTTTTTTCTAAAATTATATTTTGCCAAAATGGGAAAACTTAATTGAAACTATGTACATGTAATTGAGTAAAATCTGAACACAGTATACTATATCAAATACCAATGGTTTCAAAGGTCTAAGTCTCTCATCTAGTGAGATTTGAAATCTGAAAATTGTCATTAACAAAACTAAGACACGTACACCAAACATGCCAATGCTAATTGCTAAATAGAGTGCACACGCTAAAATTTCTGGCATGCTTTTACTGATCATGATTAAATTTACGTCAAAGACTAGTCTCTGCGCCTTTGTCCAGGCAGGGCATGAAATTTTTTTGAAATTCAATGTTATTTTACATTCTTTCATGCATGGTCCAGTTATCCCAACATCTTTCTGGAACTTTACACTTATTCATGCTAGCATGCAAAATAACAGTTCTTGGATGTCAAACAAACAGCTTTTAAATTTATTTGTACAATGGCACCATTGAACATAACTGGAAAAAGGTTACATTTTTGTAGCAACATGTATTGCAAAGCTTAAGATTAGTTAAAATACATCAATGATCATGCTTGTCAAGTGTTGTTAACATTTAATCTTACATGTATATTTTTACAGACCGCACATTGCATTCAATGTATACGGCCATACATGTGTCTATATATGGCCTAAAAAATATGTCTTCAACCCTAATTTTAAGTGCCTTCCCTACAGATTTTTTGTCATTTTTTAATAAGCATTGTTATGTTTTCCTTGTAGAAATAAGTTAAAACAATTTTTGAAAAATAAAATAATTCGCCTTCCATGTGCATGTACATATTTGGACATTATGCTGTTACACCACTGTCCGAGGTTAGGGGAGGGTTGAGCGCTCACAAACATAAACCCCCGCCTCATTCTTTATGAGCCTGTCCCAATTCAGGAGTCTGTAGTTCAGTGGTTGTCATATTTGTTTTAGTATATTAAAATTTTATAAATTATGCCGTTGGTTTTCTCGTTTGAATTATTTCACATTATTCACGTAAGGGCCTTTTATAGCCGACAATACAGTATGATTTTTTTCTCATTGTTGAATGCCGTACGGTTGCCTATAATTACTTCCATCCACTTCATTTGAACTCTAGTGGATAGTTGTCTCATTGGCAATCGTACCACATCTCCTTATTTTTACATAAACCTACTCACCCATATATTTTTCAGCATGTTAGCAGAACAGTTTTTTTTAGTTTACTATTTCCTGAATGATAAAAATTATGAGCCCCGACCATAACGTTTAAATGAGGATAATTTCCTTACCATTAAATTTTGACAAACATATCAATTCTTATATTTTAGTTTAGAAAATACACCTTCCCCAACCTGTCTTTTCTCAAAAGATACAATATTTGACATTTAGTCACTAACAAACAGAAAATCAGTAAAGACAATTAATTAAGCAAGTGTGGAAAGATAAGACACGGAATGTCTATTTGGGATATAAACATTAGGGAAAGAGAAATCTAGTCTACTGGTCTTGAATTACTGTTGTACCATATCAACGGTTTCCAAAAGATAGGTTTAGCACCTACGATTCAATAAAATATTTGCAACGAAAAGTGCCTTGGGCAAAAAAAAAAAAATTGTGGTTCTTGTAACGTCCTGAAAAAAAATAGGGTCTAGAATGCCAAATCATACAAAGTATAAACATAGAGTTTGTGCGATATAAGTGATTAAATGTTATATTTTACCAGAAAATGTATTATATGTCTCTGATTTCACATACACGTATCCGAATTTATACCTGCTGCATTTGCAAAGTGCTGTGTCAAAAATAATTGGTTTAATATAAATCAGAATTTCTATTTCATCATGACGATTCTATATTTTAAATAAAATCTTTATTTATTCCTTAAACAAACTTAATTTTTCATTAATTGAAATTGTTATTTATTATATTTGTGTATTATAATCTCATTGCATTTTACCGAAAGTCATAATTCAATTAAATTAAGGTTCATCAATACAATTTAACAAAAATGGCTGTGTTTACACCATGATATTTCTCCTAGTCCAGACAAACCTGTGTAATTTAAAAAGTTTTAAAGCCTGGCAGCACCTAGCTAGATAAATAAATGTTACATCCATTTTATGTTTTAAAAAATTAATAAACAGCTGCGCCACGAGCGCATGATACGCCTGTCGTCTTGTGTGTGTGTTTTTAAGCAATAATCATAAATCGTTCTTGAGATACGGCGCGACATGTGAAACCCCCCTTTTTTTACAACAAACTCAATAACTCCAAAATAAAATTTTGAATCATCAGCAAGAAGTATACAGATCTTTAGATTAATATAACTAAGAAGTGTGTAAAGTTTTAAGCAATAATCATAAATCATTTTTGAGATACGGCGCGACATGTGAAACCCCCCCCCCGTTTAAGTTACACAGTCCCGTAACTCAAAAAGTTTTAATCTTATTTTCACCAAAAAGTATAAAGATCGACCATCATAAGAAACAACAATGTTAAGTTTCATGAAATTTGGATAAGTCGTTCTCAAGTTACGGTGCTTCATGTGGACCCCGGACAGACAGATGGACGCCGTACATTTGTATACCATAATACGTCCCATCAAAATTTTGACGGGCGTATAAAAACCTTTATGAAGTTTGATGAACATTTTCTTTCCTTGCCACAGAAAATGGTGAAATAAACAAACACATACAAATACAACTTGTATATATATCTAGGTGCTGCTAGGCTTTAAGACTTTTAAAATTAGTTTTGTCTGCACTCAAAAGAAAATTTCATGGTGTAAACACAGCCATTTTGTCAAAGTGTATTGATGAACCTTAACAATCAGTAATGTTAATTTAACTATTCCAATTTTCAACAATAGACAGATGCATGTCTAGGTAAAATGTCAAGCTCTATATTGTACCAAGTCTAAAAGTTGTGATCTTGAATTGTCTATATAGACGGTCCGACCGGACCAATTGTCTTCATAGACGGTCTGCTTTGTCTTTTTTATATATAGTATAATACTCATTTAATCATTAAACATGTTTAGATTGTCAAAACTCTCCTTTAATACACCATATGAGTTGGCATTATAGACAGCCTGAGCTGTCTTGCACCCTCTGGTTTGACCAGGCTGGGGATCATACACACGACCTCCCGCACTTGATGTGAGCATGCTACTGGCAGTACTGCTAGACCATAGAGGCAGTCCCATTTTAAAATAGTTGAATTTGTTTTTAAAAAGTCCTAGGGCAACTATTGCAATGGACAACCACTAATTTGTTTTTTAATTTACAGTAGTATTTTGGTTGTAAATTTAGATGATGAAGCACTATGACAACTTTCCTAGCATGATCTCGTGGTAATTACCTTGGGCCATGTTGGATGTTGTTATATTTATATTATAAATTATTATTTCGTTACCGTAGGAAGTTGTATACTGTTAAACCAAAAGGATGTTGATAAATTATTGAAATGGCTCTTCGGCCAGTATATAATCACTACAAGTACAATCTTGACGATAAAAAGGGGGGTGAATCCAGGACAAGAATATTACCAATTTTGAAACATCACTATCGAAAAAAACACTGTTCCATAAACAATAACTATTTCTAAGTTTTCTTACCAATTATGAAACACAAATTTAATAATAATTCGACAAACTGTCTTGAGTCTTTCCAAACGTGGCTTCTCTGCAGTTGAACAAAGCGCGTAAAAGACACATCCGCTATACCGCTGCGCCCTCTATCGACCTTGTAAATATAGCAAGTAGACAAGTTTGAGCTTTCTAAAAAGCTTCGCTCTATCCTAATTTAAGGTAATACTAGAACACACCCGCGAAATCGCGGGCATTTAGAGCGTGGTTGAAAGTATGTAAACTGTTGTAGGATGATTTTTTGTGAAAAATTTTATGACTGGAGAATTTCAGGAAAGGTATTAAAAGTCATAGGTACTTGGGGTACTTTCAAAATCCGTAATTTTTTTGTTTTCTATTAATTTCAATTATTTTCGCGTTTTTACGTATACTTTGAACAGACATATACCGTATTATCTCTATATAATATATGACCGCTGTTGATAGTAAACTTGGAATTGATAGTAAGGGAGCTGCCATTTGATTATTAGGGGAGGAGGCTAGGATGAAATTGAAAAAAATAGGCAGGACAGGAGTTTTGAGTTAAAAAAAAAAGAGGCAGGATGAGACACTTGCAAAAAAACAAGTCAA